GTCAGAATTGGCAGTGAGTTTGAGTGAATGGTAACAGTAGGCATTACACCTTTATCAAAACCCACAGATTGTGAACCCTGCTGTAAACTATAGAGCTAGTTCATAAAAATGTCAGTCTTGATTTGTCAGTTGTACCAATGTACTAGGGGAGCACAGGACGGTAATAATAGGAGAAAGAGTGTCGGAAGAGGAGGGTAGGCTGGAACATTCTGTACTGTCTACACAATTTTTCTGTAAACTTAAAGCTATACAAAATAAAGGCTATTAAATAGTAAGAGAGGGAGTTATATATATATCAGCCAAATGCAATCTTGTTTTTGTACTAATATGGACAAACCTAATATGTAGAAGCACTTTTGAGGCAATTGGGGAAATCTTAATATTGACTAGCTATTAAGTGATATTTTAAAATTATCAATTTTGGTGAATGCATCAAAGGTGTGGCTTTTTTTTTTTTTTTTTAAGATGTAACACTTGCCTGTTAGTGATTCATACTAGTGTCTCAAGGAAAGAAAGAAGGAAGTTGGGAGCAGTAGATGAAATAAAACTGGGAAACATTGATAATTGCAGAAGCTGTTTGATGGGACGCATCATGTTATTCTAAGTTTGTAGTTTTCTGTAGTTTAAAGTTAAATTAACACACACGTACCCCGGGAAGGTGGAAATAGAGCACTACCGTGGGAGCAAGCGAACCATATATGCTTTGGGTAGAACAATTTAGTTTTAGCATGCAGCAGCGATCCTATAAATCAAATTGATATGTAAAATTTGAGAAAGGGAGAGAAAAGCATTTCTATTTCATTCTCCTTACCTAACCTACAACCCTCTCCTACCCGCTACCATACAATGACAGGAGGCAGTGCATCAATTGAGAAGAATGAGGAACTTTGAATGGAAACACACGTTCCTCGCTCAGGAAAGGTAGATGGCCAGTGCTAGCAGTGATAGGCACACTGTCTTTGCCTCTAGCATGGAGCTTCTTGTGCCACTGGTGGCTTTTCACCCTGCAGCTGCATTTTCAAATTGTACAGGCAAATGTACAGCCTTTTCTCATATGACTCTTACCCTCATACATTATTCTGTGAGAAAATATACCTATTTTGCTGTAGAACATTACCTGCTATTACTTGTTTAGTCCCATTAAAAAAATGGAATGCCCTTAATAAATACGTTGAGCCCTTTACAGGCATAATTCAAACTTTGCCTTCTGGGAAAATCCTCTACTACTACCCCCTGTTCTCCCTCCTGCCCCCCCCCCACACACACACACACACAACATCATATATACTGCCAAGGCCCTGAATCCATAGTTTAGAAAATGGTCTGGGTGTCATCAGGACACAAATCTAAAAAGCAAAGCTGTAATCAGTATTTAGATGCTTAATCTAGATCCAGCAAGGAAAATTTCAAAATGAATTAGTGTTAGAAAGAGTGTCTGTGGTGGACCTGCTTTTCTGGGCTGGACTCTGAGTTACCATGTTGCTGAGACGTACTCTCGCCTGAGAAGGGACTCTCACAGACCTACGTTTTAGAGCAAGTGCCTTTTCCCTGAATTCCCTAGGGTTGTTCTGTCGTTGTGGATCTAAGAGCAAGCCACTAATCCTAAGGCCCATGCCAGCTGTCATTTCAACTACTAATGTACCATACGTGAAAGTAATTTTTAGGTAATGCTTTTAGTATTCGAACAGAATCTGTGTAATCTGTTGTATCTGTACAATTTATCAGTTGAACTAAACTTCAAGTTCTCAGAGAACTAGAGTCATTTCTGTTCATTTAACTACATTCATAGCCACTGTAACAGTAACATGACAGGATAGAGCATTTTCCTAAATATCGTCATCTGATTGCCACATCTTCTAAATCTAGAGTTTTGGATTATATAAAAACATTTGTATATAAAAATATTTGAACAGCAGAATGTTGGAAAGTGTTTTTATGAAGAAATTATAAAATAATCAAAACCTTTACATTTGCTCTTTATGAGCAGTGGTGCTGTGAGCTACGAGATGGGCAGATAAATGCAAGGTTGGTGGTTCAAACCCACAAGCTGCTCTGAGGAAGAAAAATGAGGCTGTCTGCTTCCTAAGGATTGACAGAATTGGAAACCCTATCGAGGGTCACTGTGCGTCACAATCTGCTCAGTGGCTGGGGTTTGATGTGGGTATGGCCTGACACTTCACTAAGCACTGTATTTACAGCCTTGTAGTATATAAGTGTGTGTGCAGAGCCCAGTTGGGTTTTTAGAAGTACAAATCCTAGACAAATACCATTTGTTTCATTGTAGCCTCTCTGTCATACGGGGAGCAAAGGGATCATTTTCCTGAAGTAGTTTGAAGTACTGTAATAAGAATGTAAAAAGCGTGTTTTCTGAAATATCTTCTAAAAATTACCCATCTTCTGATGAAAGCTGATGAAATTAGTAACCTCTCATCATAATGGCCAAGCATTTCATCCCGTTACTGTAGTGGTTTTTAGCCTAATTCTTAACATGTTTGCTTTCTGAATCATTCTGACATCTAATAAAGTTGTCGACAAGGATATGGAATTTTGACATTTCAGAAGAGAAATTTCCTACTTTATAAAATAATGTTTCTGAAGAGCCCTTGTGGCATCGTGGTTATGTGCTGGGCTGCTAACCAAAAGGTCAGCCGTTTGAAGCCACCAGCTGCTCTGAGGGAGACAGATGAGGCTTTCTGCTCCTATAAAATAATGTTTCTACTTGTAAAGTTTGAGAAGCCACCAAAAAGTACACGGAACTCCATATTCTATAGCTCATGTAAGGCTCTGAAGTGCGTTAGCATTTTTATGCCACTTAAAGGCAACCACTGTTAAGATTTCAAATTCCATTTTTATTTACGATCTTATTATCAGTGTTAGCAACCAAATTGAGAAATGTAAACAAAGGTCATGAAGATATTCCATAAGAACCAAGTATCTTTGTATAGCATTTTTTAAAATCCTATGTTGTTTTAAATAGAATATTAATATCACAATGAAGTACGCTACTTTGTTATTTCTGTGTTGTTATCAACAAGTAGGCCTTTTTCTCCTAATAAATTATCACATTATGAATAACTCCCTCACAGATGAGTAATAGACCATTTCCCCCTGTCATGCTATCATCTCCCTAATATCTACGTCAGCTTTTGGTTGATGGTGGTGGCATGACTAGAAGGGTGCAGCTCGGAGAACCATCTGAACCTTTCCACTAAACTTTCTTCCAGAGCTGAACAGGTTTGAATTGAATTGCCTTTTGCTTTCCGTGACAACATGCAGAGGAAATGCGTGGTAAATAACCGAGAAAGCCCTGAGAAGAAAAAGAAATAGGAGTATTCAAGCAACAAACTAGAGAAGCCATTTCTATCCCACGGCACTCTTAGGAATTCCTTGTGTGCTCTCTTCCTCCTCCTTATATTTCAGTAGCATGCGTGGCTCTTTCAACCCAGTACAGAGGACTCAGACCAGAAACTCTTTAAGTTGCTGCTCCGAAATACTGCCATTAGTTCGCCTCCTGTGAGAAAAAATGAATGAGCTGAAATACATGAGAGAAATAAGCACAAGCCTCTCCTACGTATCGTAAATTTTATCATATTTAAAGGAAGAGCTTGCACACACAGAGAAATGTTTCTAATGTAGCTATCGTTATTTCCATATAGTGTGACTCAAAAGAGTTTGAGATCCACCTTGAGATTTTGTGAAAGTGGAAACAAAAACTTATGAAAATGTAGCATGTAAGCCTATACACCAAAACAATCGGGCAAACACACTGCCATCACGTGGATGAGACTTTCTCTATGTGAGCAAGCAGCCCGAGCTGCTGCTTCAGCCCTGCTGGGAGATGTGAACACCAATCCGTGTTAGCAGCCCACCCCCTACCCCACAGCACCCTTAGGGCTCCCTCAGCATCTCTAAACCATAGGTTCCCAAACTTCTTTCCCATACTTTCTAGGGGAAAAAATTACTCAACGTCCCCCTGGCAATGAAAAACATTTGATTTTATGGCCCACTCCCCCACGCCAATCATTCAGGGGTGGTATTGCCCACTTTGGGAAACACTGACCTATACCAACCCACTGTCATCAAGTTGATTTTCACTCAGTGTGACCCTATGGGACAGAGAAGAACTACCAGTTTAGGTTTCCAAGACTTTAAATCTGTAGGAAACCAGACAGCTTCATCTTTCTCCTTCGGGGCCACTGGTCGGTTCAAACTACCCACTTTGTGGTTGCACCTCAATGTGTAAGCCACTTGAGTTATCAGGGCTCACTCATGGCCTATAGCCAACCCAAACTAACAACTAAAAATCCCAATGCGTGTGTGTGTGTGTGTGTGTGTGTGTGTGTGTGTGTGTGTGTGAGAGAGAGAGAGAGAGAGAGAGAGAGTGTTTGTGAGATGAGAGTGCTGGGTGGCTACTCAAAGGATTCTGGGTCATATCCTGATCTTTAGCCACCACATAGCACTATGAGGAGGCTTTGAAAAGTCGGTGGGAAATTACTACAAGATCATGGAATTTTCCTGAGACTTTTTCAAGCCCCCCTCCCTTCCATTTGTTCAGTATTAGTACTTGATAAATAAAGGTGAAGAATTTTGAATTATAAATTCAAATAGTCATAAAATTATGTTTCTTTACAGCATGTCTTTTAAATTGAGCTTCAAGAGAACATGTATTAAAATTTCAATTGAAGTTTTTTCATCATTTTATTTTGAGTTCATACTAAACACTTCTAACCAGACAATGTCTAAATGTATCTTTTTCAATATGGCAAAGTTACATAAGAAGAGAATCCCTTGCACGCAAAGAAAAATGCAATTATTTTCTATTCTGAATCTCCACACTGCTGTTTTAGAAAATCATATCTGATTATTTGCTCAGCAGAAGATTATTGAGTTGATTTAGCTGTGATTTTACTTAACAAAGCTTCAACTGCATTCCTACTGTGGAGTCCGAAAAAGGTAGAGAGATATAAATGATACATTCAAACTGTGATTTTTGTGAACAGGGCCATCGATGCACCCCTCGGAGCTAATAGCGGAGATGAGAAACAGTGGGTTTGCACTGAAACGAAATGTACTGGGGAGAAACTTGACCGCAAATGATCCATCACAGGTAATGATCTTTTTATCAGTAAGCTGAAAATGTGTATAAATCTAAATGTGATTGCTTATGAATTGCTACTTAATGTTTTCCAATATGCATATCCATAGGAAAGCAAGATAGAGCAAAGAAAATGCCTAAAATGTATTTTGATTTTGCTTCTTTATTATTTTAACCTAAATGATTGATTGTTCTTAAACCTGTATTTTAATAAATGAAACTACTCCTCTGGGTTTTGTGGATAAAATAGCGAACTGAATGGTAGAGTTGGTTTTCCCTGCCTGCTAACTTAGCCCTGACGTGACACTGAATGGAATCAATGGAAAGAGTATAGAATGAACTACTAAAGACTATAGAAAATATTTTTAAACTGTTTTAATATTTTTAGCTATATATAGATCCCAGGAAATGATTGCGTTTGAAAGACTATATACACCGATAGGAACCATTTATATTATTTAGTGAGGAAACTGAAGGCCAGAGAAGTTCAGGGTCTTTCCTGAGGTCATGCGGCTCAGTAGACCCAGAGCTGAAACTAAACCCAGACTTTGATTGGCATAAGTTATGTGCTGTTCTGAAAAGAAGCACCTGACTTTTCTTACACTTAATACAGGGCTGGGAATGTGCTGTCGATTTTTTTTTAGTTTCATGTTTGCGTTTATTTTTTAAACATTTTATTGAGAGCTCTTACAGCTCTTGTAACAATCCCTACGTCAATTGTATCAAGCACGTGTGTACATATGTTGCCATCATTCTTTTGTGGACATTTATTTTCTATTGAGCCCTTCATATCAGCTCTTTTTCCCCCCTCCCTCCCCTCCGCACCTTCGTGGCCCCTTGATAAATTATAAATTATTATTATTTTCATATCTTACACTGACCGCTGTCTCCCTTGCCCCACGGTTTTTCTTGTCTGGGATTGGGGTGGGAGGAGGTGCGGTTATATGCCATTCATCGCATTCAGTTTCCCCTTCTTCCCCTCCTCTCACCACCTTCCCCCTGGCCTCCTGCTATCGCTGCTCCCATTCCTGTTCCTGGATTCCATGTGTCATGAGCTCTTATGTCTTATCCATACCTGTGCACATCCTCCAGTCTAGCCCGCAGTGAAAGGCAGTACTGGGGTCATGATAATGGGAGTTGAAGAAGGAACCAGAGGAGTACTGTGTGTTACATTGGTGCTTTGCTGTCTCCCTGATTGACTCATCCCTTCCCTATGACCCCCCTGGGAGGGATGTCCCATTGTCTGCAGATGGGCTTTGGGTCTCTGCTCCGACCCCCTCGTTCTCAACAATATGGGTTTGTTTGTTTGTTTGTTGTCATTTTCTGATGCCTGTTACCTGGTCCTGGTGACACAATATAATCACACAGGCTGATGTGCTTCTTCCATGTGGGCTTGTTGCTTCTCAGCTAGAGTGTTTAACTTCAAGCTTTTAAGACCCCAGGCGCTATATCTTTAGATAGCTGGGCACCATCCACTTTCTTCACCACATTTGCTTATGCACCCATTTTGTCTTCAGTGATTGTGCTGGGAGGGTGAGCAACACAGAATCCAGGTTGTTAGAACCAAGTGTTCTTGCATTGAGGGAGGGTTTGAGTGGGGGCTCAAAGCCCATCCACTACTTTAGTGTATTTCCATATAAATATATGTACATAGACCAATGCCACTATTTTTATGAATTAATGTATTGACATGTACCCGTCTATGGTTATACTCTATCCATAGCTTTGCTTCCTAGATCCTTTGTTTCCGTTCACCTTCCTCCTGCCCCACCATCACACTCGCCCTACTTTCATGCTGTTGAAATTGAAAAGGTTGAAAGTGGATATTTTGACCTTCCTGTAAGGGTCATGATCTTGGTTTTAATATTTCACTAAATTGTAAATAAAATATTTAAACAGCCGGTGTTCGCCATGATTCATCCTCAAGGACTAGTTAGAGAAAATGGCAGCCATGCTATAAACGCCTTTATCTGTGTCTCCCCATCATCCTCTTCCTGATAGTTTCCTATGCTGATCAAGCATTCATCTAAGCCTCCTACTACATTACTGTCGTCCTTGGCAGGTAGACTGTTTGGGGTTTTTTTTTTAATTTTGTTTTGCATTCCCTCCCATTACCCAATCCAAAATATCATGTTCATCTACAGAGTGTTCCTAATACAAAAACTTATTTGTAAATATTTTCTTTGCCATCTGATAAATAGCTTATCTTAAACTCTAGTAATCTAATCATGTCTTTGGTGACTCAGGAATATGTTGCAAGTGAGGGTGAAGAAGATCCAGAAGTGGAATTTTTAAAGTCATTAACCACCAAACAAAAACAGAAACTGCTCAGGTAATTAGTTATAAATGTAATGGATTCAGCTACATTTTTTTCCCTGTACCTTTCTTCTTAGTAACCTATTCAACACAGAGCCTAAGCGCTCATGAGGATGCGTGCCCTTTAAAGCACACGTGACCTGTGTTCCTGTCTGCATTTACTCCAGGAATACAATCGTGTCTTGGTTTCAGTAATGCAGTAACTGACTGTAAGATTGTAAATGCAGCATACACAACAGAAACCCTTGTATTTTCAGAACATTGAATCTGAAAATAGATTTGTAAGTTTTACGCTCCATAAAAGATTTTTATGTATCTTCACACACCATTCCTTCTTGGAAAATATTTTTTGGGTATGCCTTGCTCATTTTTCCATTTGTTAAAATTTCCTAAAGCATACTGAAGGAATGCTTCAATCTGAGGTAAATTTGAACTTCATTAAAGAATCCAAGAATTGTTGACTGCGTCCGATAGAGGGAGCTCTTGGTGTTGGAGGATCTGGAGTTGGGGATGACTGGTGTTTTCTCCTTTTAGGAGTCAACCCAGTGAAGGCACTGGGATTTCTGAGTAACTCAGATTTGTCGTGTAAACACATTGCTCTTCTGAGAATGTAGAGTACTTTTGGAAATTCAGAATACCTTCTTGATAGAACGATCCTAATTACTTGTATAAAGAAAGCTAAATAATTGTTGAAAATTAGTTTAAGATTATTTTATATAACCAAGAGAATATGTTTTTTTAATTTAAGTATATTTATATTGAGAATTCCTGAAGAATGTGCTTTTGAATTTGGGTAATATAATTGTTGATTAACGTTCCTATATTTTAACATAATACATATGTAAAATGAATTTTTCCATCTGATTATAGTTGTGTATTGAGTTTCTATAAATCCAGCTAACATAACAACCTTTCACAGGCTTTCTTTAGGTCAGGGTGGCCAGTTATTTTGCATGCTCTATAATTTCAAATTCTGAGTCATCGACACTTTTGTCTTGTTATGAAGATCATTACTAGTGAGGAAAGTGTAGTTAGGAAATTGGCTTATAGCATTTAAGTTTTTATTTTTAAACTTAATGTATCTATAACTAGAATAATTTGAAAGGAAGAAAAATATTTGTCATTTAGGAGGATAAAGAATATTTAATATTTGGAGACCATTTTTAATTGCTTCTAAGGAAGTATGTTTTCTCTCGGCAGTTTTGTAGTTGCTGATGAAAGGACTGTTTTTCAACAGTTATATCTGTTGCTGTTTTTTCCCATTTACAGGAAATTGGATCGACTTGAGAAGAAAAAGAAACGAAGGAGAAAAGATAGAAAAAATAAAAAGCTTCAGAAGAGCAGAAGTAAACACAAAAAGCATAAGAACAAATCCTCCTCCTCCTCTTCGTCGTCCTCCTCCTCCTCCTCCTCCTCCTCCAGCGAGAGTTCAGAAAGTAGCAGTGAGAGTGAGAGTGACAACAAGGAAAAAAGAAAAAGAAGTAAGAAAAGAAAGAAAAAGGAATGTTCGTGGTATAGCAGCAGTGATGTTGAAGAGAAAGCCAAGTCTAGGACGAGGAAACCCTGTGAAGAACTTTATAGCAGTCACCGCAGGAGTAAGGACACAGACGGAGACAAGCCTCCGTCTTTGAAACATGAGAGTTCTAGAAAGAATAGCAAACGGAACCACTCTGCCTCTGACAGCAAGGCCAGAAACCGCACTGAGAGCCCACGGGAGAGGGGGTCTGAAAGAAAGGAGGAGGGCAGCAGGAGGCAGCGCAGGGAGGAGAGGGGCAGGAGAAGCCGGAGCCGCAGTCACAGTGGTTATAGGCAGAGGGAGGTCAGCGAGCAGACACGGCCAAGCCCCAGCGAAGAGCAGCACAGGAGAAAGGACGCCAGGTACCATGGCACTGACAAACACCGAGGAGAAAAAGTGCACAGAGGAGACTCAGGAGACAAGCATGCTACAGTGACACAGAGAACGAAGCCAAAGTAGAGAGAAAATAAAGAGACAGTAGAAGTGATGTTACCCAGGAAGAAAAATATTTTCACTGTCTTATTGAATACCTTCAGTAAGGGCTAAATTATGTACTATTGTCTTTCTAATAAAAAAGCTCTATTTTAACTTTCCATCTCTGTAAACTAGCATTTCAAGTTCAAAACGACACAAATACCTTAAGAATGAATTTTGCGAGTATTTGTAAGTATTCTATTTTAGGGCTGTAGAAATACCCTCTGTTCGTGAATGTTTCTTATGCCCTAACCTGAATAAAAACCCCAGAGAACTCTGTAGCACTTTCTTTGTTCCAAAATACCATTAAAAGAATGATGGTTCATTGAATGGGTATAATTTAATTTTGAGGTTTTAAATTCACATTTGTTAATACTGTTAATATTTAAATTTGCCTGAAGCAAAGCGTATTTGTGGAAATTTGCTCGTGTGAATTAAACAAAGAGTTGGTGTTGGCAGGGCTCTGGACCTTCCAGAGGCTCCAGATGAAACTCTCTGTATCCTGACCTAGTGGAGCGTCCAGTGGCTGCCCTCATTCCTTGGCTCCTGGCCCCCTCTCTCATCTTCAAAGTCCTCATACTGTCATCACTCTCAAAATCTGATCTACAGTCCTCTACCATTGTTAAGGACTTTGTGGTTGATTATATTAGATCCACTCAGAAAATACCAGATAATCTCTCGTTAAGATCAGCTGATTAGTAGCATTAATTCCATCTGCAACCTCCGGTGACAAGGTGGACATCTTTACCAAGCTAACTGCCATCAAGTTGATTCCAGTAGCAGCCCTGCAGGACAGAATAGAACTGCTCCTGAGGATTTCCAAGAGTGTAAAATCGTCGTGGCGGCAGTCAGACTCATCTTTCTCAAAGCAGCTGATGGATTTGAACTTGTTGGCTTAGCAGCCCAACACTTTACCTACCAGGGCTCTTTTTAGGCATCTTTGAGGAACTTCCTGTACCAACACAGATGGCTTTCTAGTACTGCCATACAACCATGAAGATGTTACTGCTAAAGGTCACACATGCTACAAATAAACAGTGCACATTATATTTTCTTAAAAGAAGCATGTTTAAATATAGCTGCAAAATTTCCTTTGTGCTTCAAAAGATATGGTAAGGGAAAAAGAAAATTTACTTAATAATTAAAATTAAAATGCAATTTGAAAAAAATCCATGTATTTCACATGGACAAGTTATTTTTGTCATCAGGTTTATATAAAATGATCTGTATTTTATATAAATGCTATTAAATGTAATACAAATATCGACGAGCTATTTGATAGGGAACCCTGGTGGCATACTGGTTACAAATTAGGCTACTAATCGAAAGGTCAGCAATTAGAAACCAGCTGCTCTGAGGGAGAAAGGCAAGGCTCTCTACTCCATTGGGAAGTAGAAACCCCCAGGGACAGTTCTTGGAACTGCCCAGGGGCAGGTCTTCCTGTCCTTTTGGTTGCTGTGCGTCGATATTGACTTGATGGCAGTGAGTTTGGATTTTTGTTTTTATAGGGATGTAAATAAATGAATGTTGGGAGTTTAATGAAACCGGTCTACAAGGTCTGTGTACACACACAAAACAAATGTCCCCTGATTTTGAATAAGCTAAAGGCCCAAGCAACCCTTTCATTTAGATGGTTAATGGGAAAGTGTGGTGGAGAAAGGAACATGAATTCCTTCCACAGTATAATAACCTAGAGTGCTTCTCAACCATCCCCTTTCTTCCCTTAAAAAAAAGCATGCATTTGAAATTGATAAAGACTGCTAATTTACACCTTGAGCTCATCAGTGTTGCTGTGATTATTTTCTACCTTATGCCTTTTTAGACTTTATAATTTTAATAATGTCAAAACCTATGCATTACTTACTGTCTTAAAAGTTTCTGAATCAATACGGTGTTCCTTAAGAGAAATGCTGTAATGCATCCTGCAATTTCAAAGGAATTAGAGAAATACATGATCACTTTTCACTCATTGCTCATTTGAATATCATAAAAGTGTGGTCCACTTGGAGCTTTTTAAGTTGGGTTTCAGAACTTTTAAAAATCTGATTTAGTTTTTCTTCATTGTTAAACTATAAAGTACTAACAGAAGCCAATATGTGTATTCATCCAGTTGAGAGGAAAAGCCCATAGTTTGGAAGCTGTTGCTTTTACTGCTTGGCCTTCAGCCTTGCTCACCCAAGGGTGCTAGCTAGAAAGATTAAAGATCGGAGCCGGGCTGGGCTCACCTTCGTCCCTGCTCTGCCAGAGAGGCATAGTCACATGAAAATGGTCAGAAACCTTTTCAGGAGGCACACCTTGTTCACCTAACCTGACGATGAGGGAGAAGGCGCTGAGTGTGGTTTATAAAGACATTAGAAAGGCTCCCTTCTAATTCTTTTGTTTGTGGAGTCTAAGTATAATGGGAAAGATGAACAAACATAATAAAATGGCGGTCTAGCTGCATGTAATAGGAATTCTCTTAATTACGGAGAAAAAAAGCTTCCAGTTTAAGGACTCTTAGAGGTGTTGGGCTGCTAACCCACACGGCGAGCAGTTAGTTGGAAACTGACTGAGAAAGATGAGGCTTTCTGCTCCGGTGAAGAGTCGGTCCGTTTCAGCTCCACCTTGTCTTCCCACAGGGTCAGAGTCACACTGGACTCGGTGGCAGTGAGTGAAGGCTCATGAACACCCTCCCAGAAAGTGCCCAACACGACAGTTTAGAAAACCACACAGCGGGAGAGGTCTGATACTTATCATCCCTCTACCCTTAGTAGAGAGTCTTTTAAAGTACACTAGTGATGGTTCGTCTTTGCCCTTGGGCCTAGAACTACACTGGGAGGCAGAGGAGACTAAAAAACTCAGAAAGCCCCTTTTTCCGTACCCCTGGCGGCATCGTGGTTTCCTGTTGGGCTGCAAGTTACAAGGTAAGTGGTTCCAAACCACCAGCTGCTTAGCTGGAGAAACATGAGGCTTGCTTGCTGCTCCGTAAAGAGTTACAGCCTGGAAAAAACTTGACAGGGACAAGTCCTATGTTGCTGTGCATCAGAACTGACTGTGGCAGTGAGTGTGTTTTGTTTCATGTTTGACTTAACCTACCACCAGCAAATTAATTCCTGTAGGAGGTGCTGTCGGTTTACAAATGGCTGGAAAGATCTTGGCTGCTAGGTTAGGACTTGTTTGTCTGAATATGTGCTAAGTCGTCCCTAACTTCCATTTAATAAACCCTGGTATGCCAACATAGACCTGGGTCGCTGCGGGCGGCCCGCCCGCGGGGCCTCTTACCTTGCAAAGTGAAATGCTAGTTACATTTTGACTGATAGAGTTGTAATCCGAAGAAAGCTTTTCATCTGCTTGCTGTTTTTCTGTGAGACCATTAGCTGGCAATGAGATCCGTCTGCGCTGTTAGGAGAGTGCCGTTCGTTCCCCAGTTTTAATCACCCGATACTTAAAGATTTCAAAATCAACCCGAGCCATTTTTTCCTTCTCTACCTCATGATTACTGGGCCAAGACACCGGGGCGGCCTTGCCTCTGTAAAGCCCCTTCCCAGGTCTCACTGTGTCTAAGACCTACGCAGAAATCAGTATTTTAGCTTCAGGAGCTGAAGGATATTAACCAGAAATCTCTCGGTTTTCTGAGAAAAGAACTTTACTGTGGTTACCATTTCTTGAAAAGAGATAAAGAAATGCATGCATTGCTTGCAGTAATTTTTTTAAGATCGAAAAGGAAAAATGCTTTTTTGAAATTGTGATTAAATCAGACAGCAAACGCGAAGGTTGGAGTGATGTGGTTGGCAACAGACAGAGCTCTGCTAACTGATGGCGGCTCCTAACACCCGGCTTCTCCTGCCCTTCCACCACTTTCCCTTTTCTCCTCCCTTATGCCACACTTAACCTCACCCCCAGAACGTAGCCATAATAACGGAGCAAGCTGGAGATGGAACTGGAGGAGCCAAGGCAAGAGATGGCCCCCAAATGCCCGCTTTCCGGAGCCCCGTCCTTGCTCCAGGAAGTGGGCGTTGGGAATGACCAGAGCAGGCCTGCCATGAACCTCACCTAGAGTCTAGACCCTAGGACCTAGCTCCTTAGAGAGCCCGGAGGGAGGTTGTATAGGGTGATGGGCTCACATCTTCCCATCTGCGGAGGCGGCACCACCCCCCGGCATACTCTGGTGCTCTCTCTGTGGGCGGGGGTCAGACCAACCTGAACGCACCTCAGTCACAAATCAAAGTCTAAGAAGTAGGGGGCACATCCCTTCCTAAGAGGAGCACCTCCTGCACTAAGAAGCCCCTTGACACCCCATCCTTAAAGTGTAACGGAATCTGGGTCAGCCCTCTGCCCCACCCAGAAGAAATCCCCCGACCCCTGGCACCAAGCTGCGGGCAGCCACCGCCGCGCTCCCTCGCCAGCCGGTTCCAGCCTAGGCTCGCCGGGCGTCCCACGCGCTCCTCCAGCGCGCGGGGTCGCAGGGCGGGCTGGTGGCAGCAGTTCCCAGAGCTAGCGAATTCCTTTCCTGGTCGCGGAAGCGCCACAGGTGAAGGGGGTACTTTATTAAGCCAGGCTAATCTCCCGTCTCGGAGGCAAGAATGAAAATATCAGCTCTCGCCAGTAACCAGCGTGCAAGCTGAAAAACGGACTGTGGAGACCCCCTATGACTTTACATCTATTGTATCTCTTAATCAGCCAGAAATGATTAGATGCTGATAAACAAGGCGAAGTCCCCGGCAGCAATGTTCCAGAGGAAGAAAGTGCAAGGGTGTTGGAAGACCCAGAACCTCTTAGGGGGGTTTGATCTCCTGGGTCCCTGAGACCAGGCCCTGGGAGGATACGTCCCCACGGATGTTCTGAAACCTTCCCGGAGATAATTATATCAATACTATATGGGGGAGGCATCTCTGTATGTATTTACCTCATACATATTTCTATAAACTTCAGCGTCTGCAAAGGGTGGGGGGTAAATAACACTGAACGGTTAAAATTATGGAGAAGGGATAATAACTGATTACTAATTTGAAAGTAAATAAACAGGTGACTTTTTCAGATCAAATTCCTCCTTGGATCGTTACAATAAATATCTCTGAAGGAAGCTCTCTATTTATGTTGTCATTGATTAATTCTTCACTACCTCATTTGATTTCGATTTAGAACGATTTGATTCTAATTTAATTAGCATGTAATTTGGATGTACATAATTACTGTAATTATGACATTCAGGTAAGGCAGCTTTAGGCTGAAAGGCAATTTCAAATTTTCTAGCAACCTACTTTGTACTGGGAAACGGACAAGGACTTTGCGCCCTGCTATCCAAGTAGTAATTAGCACATCTTGGAAATAGGCAGTGCGGCGGGGTTTGT